AGGCAGCGAGGGTCTACCCGCATCCCTTGTTGTCGCCGGGCTCGGCGCAGGAGGCGACGTGGATGACCGCTCAGGAAGCCGCCGGTCGCACGGCCCTCAAGCGTGTGCCCACACCCCACCCCCCACCCCGGCCCACAGACGCACGCGCCCAAGCTCTGCAGTGTCCGCATCCTCGTCCAGCAGCGAGAGGCGCGCTTCAAGCCGGCCCCCTCGCGCCACCCCGACGTCGCCTCCGTCCTCGACGCCGTCGAAGTGGACGACGACCAGGCGTGCACTCGCCGCTCCTCCGATGCCGCGCTCCCCGGGCACGGCGGCACCGCACACCACCTCAGCCCCGGCTCCAGCGCGGCCCAGCTGAGCCCCGCCCCCGCCGCCCAAGGCGTTCAACGCGCTGCTCAACTTTTACTCGCCCGAGGCGCTGCTCATCGGCGGCCTCACAGACGCTCGCGAGCTGTTTAAGAAGCGCGTGCCCTTCGTCGCCTTCGACGCCGACGGCATGAAGCACTACCTGCGCGGCGAGCTCGAGGCGTCGGAGCAGACCGGCAGCCACACGGCGCGCGGGCTCATGCGGATGGACTCGGCCGCGGTGCTCAGCGGGCTCGAGCAGCGGCAGGCGGCGGCAGAGGCGGAGGCGGCGCAGGCGGCCGAGGAGGCGCGCGGCGCGGCGGCCGAGGCGGCGCGCGGGCGCGAGGAGGAGGAGGCGCTCGGCAGGCGGTGGCGGCAGGCGGCGGAGCGTGCCCGCGCCGCCGAGCGGCAGATGGCCGGCGTCGAGCAGGCGGGCTTGCGCGACGACGTGGAGGAGGACCTCCGGCTGCTGCAGGAGGACCTGTCCGAGATCGAGTCGGACATCGGCCGGCTCGCGCAGGAGGAGATGGAGCGCGAGGGCGCCGCGCGGCTAGCGAGCGAGGCGGTGCCGCCGCTGCAGCGCTCTCAGAAGCTGGCCGAGGCGGAGGTGCGCTCGCTCGGCGGGCGCGGCGCGGCCGAGGGCGACGGCGGCTTGGACGAGGAGCTCAAGCGTGCCAACGGCGCCGTGCACAAGGCGCGGCAGGCGGCGGAGCGGCAGGCGCGCGCCTTGCGTGAGCAAGAGCTCGAGGTTGAGCGGGCAAAGGAGGAGGCGGAGGGGATCCGCGCGAGAGTGGCGTCGCAGTTCGCCGAGCCCGAGGCCGCGGGCGGCGGCGCCGGGAGCAGCGGCGGCGAGTCGGTCGAGGCGGTGCAGAAGCGGCTGCAGAAGATGCGCGCGGCGCTCAAGAAGGCGGAGCACCTCGCGGGCGGCGAGAACCGCGGCGAGACCACCTACGCGGCGCTGCTGCAGGCGCAGCGTGACGCGGAGCGCGCGATGGCGGAGCACGAAGAGCAGATCACGGCGGTGAAGGCGACGGCCAAGGTGGTGGAGGATTCAGTGCAGGAGCGGTACAAGTTCCACCGCCGCTTCCTCAAGGCGCAGGGCGTGCAGGCCGTCTCCGACTTCCAGATGCACCTGAGCCGCCGCTCGATGTGCGCCCCTCACGCCTCACGGCCCGTCCGCTTCCCCGCCGCGTCGTCATGAGTTTGTGTGTGTGAGGGAACAGCATGTTTGTGCGGAGATAGCAGCAGCAGCAGCAGCAGCAGCAGCAGCAGCAGCAGCAGCAGCAGCAGCAGCAGCAGCAGCAGCAGCAGCAGCAGCAGCAGCAGCAGCAGCAGCAGCAGCAGCAGCAGCAGCAGCAGCAGCAGCAGCAGCAGCAGCAGCAGCAGCAGCAGCAGCAGCAGCAGCAGCCCCGACGCGTCACGAGCCTGTGCCCGTGCCGTGCCGCAGGGGCGGGTCGCTCCGGTTCGACCACAAGGAGGACGTGCTCGAGGCGCAGGTGGCGCCGCGGGCGGGCGACGCGGCGGCCCGCTCGACGACGGCGCTCCGCTCGCTGTCGGGCGGCGAGCAGGCCTTCTCGACCTTGTCGCTCGTCCTCGCCATGTGGCAGCTCTCGGCGACGCCGATGCGCGCGCTCGACGAGTTCGACAAGAACATGGACTCGTCCTTCCAGGCCGCGTCGCTTAAGCTGCTCTTTGAGATCTTCCGGCAGCAGCCGGGCCGACAGTTCCTCATCCTGACGCCGCTCGACTACTCGTCGCTCTTTCGCGAGGCGGGCGTCGACGAGCGCGACGCGGTAATCCACCGGATGCCCGACGTTGTCCGGCACTGACGCGGCTGCAGTGGCTGACGAAGCGCTGTCGCGCCTAGCTCCATTCTCGGGAAGAGCAGCACGAGGGCCGCTCTCTCGCCGGTGGGCTCTGGCCCAACGCCATACAGTGCCGGTCAGACTTGAGTGCGTTGGAGGCGAAGCCGTATCATGTAGAGATGGTGTGTGAGTGTGTGTGTGTGCGGGACTGTCGGCGAGCCGGCATGCTAGGCCACTCGATTTTATGCATGGTAACTGTAATACACTTTATACCACACCCGGCCCGCCACACACACTGACCTCTGACGCGAAGCGCAGTCGTCTGGGGGGGCGACCCCCCCATCTTTGTTTACCGAATGCGTCTCTGGATTAGAGTGCGTCTAGTAGGCCTCCTACTTAGACGCTCGCTGTCCTCGGTATGCTCGAGCATCCTAAGATGCGCGAGTCTATATTAGTTGCTCCGCGCATCCCGAATTGCTCGCGGCATCTCCGATTGGCGTTGCTGTCTCAAAAGACGCGCCGTGCATACTGTGAACAGCGCGTGTCTCAGAAGACGCGCGCATATTTTGAACAGCGTGTGGATCTCAAGAAATACACGCACGTATAAAAACAAAAAAGAAAACGAAAACCCGGTGTGGCGAGCGCTGCGCGGCGGGCCGTGCCCCCGGCTGTGCGCCGCGGCTGCTGCGCTACTACTCGCACAGCCGCGGCGCGCCCACCCGAGCACTCGTGGGTGGGCGCCCTATAGCCTCTCCGCGCAACGTGCTGGGGCACGGACAGCGGCTCTCACGTGTGGCAGCGGCAGCAGGCCCACCGCTGCACCGACTCACACTGAACAGCACGCACAGGACACAGTCACAGAACACTGCCCCTGACGCCACTCACGGCCACGGGCTACTCAGACTTGGACACAGGCACCTCGCTTAGCACTCCGTGCACGTGGCTGCCGGTTGCCGTCACCAGCGCCGCTTCCTGCCCAGATCAAACACCTGCGACGTGGCGGAGGCGATGAGCGGCCCGCGGTCGCCGTGAGAGCGCGCGTGGTGGGCGACGGCTCACCGATCGAGCGGAAGCGGTCACGCTGTGGGGGCGGCGGAAGCGGTCACGCTGTGGGGGCGGCGGCGAGGCGGGCAAGCCACCCGCAGATCCCCAGAAGGACGCCGTCGCGAGGTCGAGGGCGGGCGGCGGGGGCGGCGAGAGCGAGGCGCGAGGCGCGAGGCGGTGTTGGCGGCGGCGGTGGCGCGGGCGGCGGCGGTCACGGAGCGGGGGCGAGAGGGTGGTGGCGAGCAAGACACCCGTGCGCGCTGCGCGGTCGCCGTTCTGACTCACATGCCTGCGGACAGCGCCGACGGGTGGTGAGGAGGGCGGCGAGCCGGCGGGCACGGTGTGCGCGCGGTCGCCGCGCGCTGGTGGGCGACAGCTCACCGAGCGAGGAGCGAGGAGCGAGGAGCGAGGAGCGAGGAGCGAGGAGCGAGTCGGGATGCCCGGTCCCTCAAATCGCCAAGTCAAACAAGAAAAACCGCGCGGCTGGCCGACTCTCGGAAGTACGCTGTCTTCCGTGTCTAGGCGCACGCCCACGCCCTCAGCCTCGAACTGGCCCCGCTACCTGCCGCGCAAACTGGTTGGTGGGGGGGGGAGGCGGCGTCGCCGTCGGATCGTCGTAAGCAGTGCATGCAACTTTGGTCTTTGCGCCCAGAGCTCGTGGCGCGAGCAGATGCATGCGCGGTGCTGAGAACCTGGTTCTCCAGGAGGGGCAGGCCGCGAGGAGAGACCTCACACGAGCACTCAAGGCAGGGCCCCCAGGGGGTGCCGAGAGATCACACCGCCTTTTCGTGCTCCCTGGCTCCCTGCTCCCCCCTCGGTGCCCGGTGCACCCGACACACGGTGTCTCCTGAGACGCTTCCCTGTCCAAGTATAGTAAAATGTGATCTAGTATGCAAGTGCCATCTCAGAACAGCTGTGCATATATAGATGCTTGTGGCGTCTAAGATGGAACGCGTAACAAAAGACACGGCGCGGCTATCTCCAGGACAGCCATCGCATCCTAGAATGCCCTGTGTACCCGAGACACATGGTATCTTTGAGATGAAAAGTGCGTCCTAGAATGCGTTTTTGCATTCTAGGACGCATCGGTAAACAAAGATGGGGGGGTCGCCCCCCCAGACGGCAGTTGTGTGGCTTGTGGTTGTGCAGTGTAGCAGTATAACGGCTTTATCTTTGTAGATACAGTTTATGATCAGTGTGTTCCCCTCGAAAAACCGAGAAAAAGCACAGAGAGACGGCTCTCCCCTCTCGTGTCTCGAGTGTAAACACCGCGTTCTATAAACGCTGTGCGTGGCCACTGCCCGTCTTCAGTGCGCGGATACGCGAAGTGCTGTGGGGTGAGTGAGTTGCCAAGAGACCAGTGAATTCGGCGTACAAAGAAAAACGAGGCCCGTTTCATTACTTGGACCTTGATAAACCAGGGACTCGGAGCTCGCGCAGAAGACACAGGGCGTGCTGCGCCCCGCGCGATCCCTGGCGCCGAGGGGGCTGAGCTGCTGACCTTAGCTCCTTAGGATCATGCTTAGGATGCCTCTGCAGAAGGCCGGCGAAAGTCGGCAATCCGCACCTACCGAACATATCCGGAATCCGCAACATCGCAACACAGAGCGGCCGCACACTGCTCGGTACCCCCCCTGCACATCTAAAGTCATCCCTGCTGCAGGGGGGGGGGGGGTCTGACCCCCCCAGCAGCAGAAGGGGGGGGGGGGGGGCCCCCCCCGCAACAAAACTCTTCTGCTGGGGGGGGGGGGGGCCCCCCCCCCCCTAAAGGAGGGGGGGGGGGGAATTTCTTTCCGGGGGGGGGGGGCACTTTTTTTTCAACCACATGTTAAGGGGGGGGGGGCCAACCCCCCCCAAAATTTTTTCCAATATTGGGGGGGGGGGGGCCGCCCCCCCCCGCAATTTTTAATAATTTTTTGAGGGGGGGGGGGGGGGGGGACACCTCCCTAAGAGGCGGGGGGTGGCGCCCCCCGCCCCTCTATT